CCTCTCTATCATTGGCATCAAATCTTATGGGATGATTCCTTCAATTTATTGCCATGATGTATCTATTAACTGTCTGTTTTACATGTTTTCTGTTTTTCTTGTTGGTGGCTTATGTGACCTTTGTATGCTGTTTGAGGAATGCTTTTCCTCCTTTTAATAGAATTATCACCATTTCTTAAAAAAAAAAAAGAAAAAGAAAAATGTTTCTCTGTTTAGTGAATCCAGAGTTACTAGTTAGGATTTAGGAAACAAAGAAGAGAAATCTATTTGGGTACCAGCTACAAGTTCATATTCATTATGTTTATAAATTAACTATGTATGAATATCCGCTAGATTTGTTGGTAGGGATTTTCTCTTACATATTGCGTCTTTGTTCATGCTTTGGTGGTGCATGTATTTTGGGGTGAAGTGGGTTGATAGATAAGCATCTTATATTTGGCAAGAAAAAGCATCTGATTAAAATCGACTTTTTGTTTAAATAATGTAAATTTCTTAATAACGAACTCTTCACTTCTTCAGCCTAGAGAGTAGAGACTATAGAAGACTTGAAATTGGTGTAAAACTACTTGGATCCAGATATGCCAACTGTAGCGTGTCATTTTATCTGGTTTACGTTTTTTGCTTCACGGTGCAGTTCATGTACCATGGGTTTTGCTTGAGGTTACACAAGACGTATTCATGTCCCAGTAATCTACAAAAATAATAGACTTGACACCTCTACATGAATCTTCACTCACTTGATCAATGTTTGTTCCTTTTGTTTTTGGTTTTTTGCAATTAAGTCCATTTCTTTGTCCCTCTCTATATTTCTGACGTATTTGTACTTTCAACATCTCTTGCCATCTGCATTTCCATCTTCATGTGTCTCTCGAAAAATTGAGCTTAAATTTTGCATCTTGAAATATCCTTAGCCACCTACCTATACGTGGTATACCTTGTCAATTTTTGAACCATTAAGAATTCAGAAGAGGCCAACCCAATGGAATCAAAATAAAGCTGACCCATTCGTAGCTGAATGGACCACCAATACCTCTGATTGCCTTGTAAGCAAACTTTGGCCATAAATTATTTAGGGTCCGTTTGGTTCATGGAAATAGGGGTCTAGTATTCTGATTTCAATCATTTGGTTGGGTGGAATTGGATTCCCATTCCCATTCCTGATAGAACAATATTCACCCATTTGAGAGAATTGCCATTCTTTTCCCCTTCCTTGGAAATGAGACCCCATTCCAAATGATTGTAATTTCAATTCTGATTCCCGTTTGAACCAAACAGGTTATAGGAATAAATTGTTTTGATTCCGGTTTTGGCTTGGCTGCAAACAAAAGGGACCCTAATGTGGCAACACATTAAGGTGTTTTGATCTATGACGTTATTTTCAGACGTGGGGTTGTCGGTTGAATTGGATTGGACAGCTGTGGAATCAGACTTCTAGTTTATGTTCCAAGACAATGACCTTTTTTTTTTTGTTTTTTTGTTTTTTTGTGACGCGTTCTACATGTGCCCCCTTGAGTGGATTGTCATCTCTCCACCAGTTATCCTTGTTTTTTTTTTTTTTGCTTATTCATGTAACTCAGCTTTCCCATTTCAGACTGCAGATATCTTGATGTTTCAACTTTCAAGGCTTGGGTTGTATATGGGCCTGGTCTGTTGAAAAGGAAAGTCTATGAGATGGACAGGCCGGAGGGCAGGGAAATAGCAGCCTAAAAAGAGCAGCCCAGTGCAGAAGGCTCCCACAACACAAATGACATGGAAAAGTCAATTCTACCATTGTACTAAACTAGCCTTTCTTTACTGTCTATTAGCAAGTAAATCCATGGAGGGTTGGTTTTGGGTTGGCCCTTAACCCAATTTATCTAATCTGTACCCCTGATTATTAGAGGGAATCAGAAGAAGTTATGAGAGATTAATGAGAAAATAAGGGGCTTAATGGGAGAGGGTAGATGTTATAAACATCAAACTATTGGAGAGATTCTATCAAAAAAATTTAATTATTGGAGATAGTGAATTAGAGAGTATCAATGGATTTTATTAAAGAAAATGAAGGCTCAAGAGGATTTTTATTGTGACATTATATCTTTAGTAATTTAAAAAATAAATAATCAGATGTGTAAAAAATGAGAGAAGAACGAGGAAGTGGTGTGTCATGTGTGTGACTGTAGAGGAATATTAACCTTACCCTTACTCTTTTGAAAGGATTGTTAGGGAGTTCAACTGACCTGCTCATTAATTCAATGATGTTAATTATCCGTAATAATGATCCAATCAGCAGAAAACGTGTAATTTCAAATTTGACAATTGGATGAGAGCCAGTGGTGTCACGTTGAATATAAACATTTCACTTAAACGTTCGAGGTAACAATGTCAATACCAAACACAATACTGCAACCAAACAAGTTTCATATCAAAATGTCATTGTATCTTCAAATGTTTGAGCTTGAAATGACAATGGTAGCAAATACAACCTAATTAATCTAAGTGTAGTGCTGAATTTAGGTTAATTGAGCCTCTAGATAAGGTTTAGGTTGAAGCTGACCTATACTGAACCAAATCCATTTACATCCCCTACTCTCACTTCCATCTTGCTCTTGGTGTTGTGATGTTGAAATGTGGAGATGTTTTCTTGAGGTTGTGTTAAGAGACATGAATTGTAGATATTCTGTGATGATGGGTCATATAGGTTGTAAGAATATATGACCTCTAGACTCTCTCTCTCTAATACTAGTAAGCGTGCACGCACATAGCAATTCTAGATGATGATAATGATAGTAATAATATATCAAAAAAATATATTAATATGTATTTTTTTGTTTTTATCTTTTTTATTTATATTATTAATAAGATGCAAATTGCAAAATCCAAATTTGATTACATAAAACACCTCATCCAAATATCATTGGATCGAGTTGTAAAGGTTCAAGTATCATTGATAGGCCTACCTACTTGGCTGGATTCTTCTTTTTTTAATGTTTTATCTTTTTGGTGTATCTTTTTTTGTTCATTTATCAAAGAAATATAAGATTTAAATAGAGAGAATTGAATGAGGTGAATGATGTTGTTTGATTCGATGTGTGTTGAGCTGAATACGCAGTAGATAGTCCTGCCAACTGGTCGAGGTCGAGGTGGAAGGACAAGGCCATGCACTGTAGTCTACAAACACAGAGAGAATCAAAGGCCTAAGGAATTTATCCCCGAGTAGGCACTTTGACGCTCAAGTCAATAATGAAGAGAGAAAGATATCGGTTGGGTTGAGCAAGTAGAGAGTTGGTCCAAGCTGAGGAAAGTAATGTGTGTTAGATTCCAAAGAGCTTACCTTGAGGGGGAGATGCATTTATATAGACCGAACACCCGTGTTGTAGTCAGATGAGGTATGCGGGGTTGTCGAGATGAAGTCGCCCACCGAGGTTCCCAGGAGGTCCCACTCTTTCTGGCGGGCCACATCTCCTTGTCTGTGTTGGACTCTACTTCCTCGTGAGGCCTCTCCATGACACGGTTGTGGTGACATGTGCCGATGTGGTCCAAGTCACTGGCCACAGAGGCAGATCATGCATAAGCTTTGGCCAGCTAGGGCGTCACCTGAACAATGAAAAAGTAGTAGTAAGGGTGTCAATTGACCAATTTTGGACTGGACCGGACGGGGTCCAAAATCAATTTGGACAGATTGGATGGACCAACAAGACATATTGGATTAGACCAATCCGGTCCAAAATATTTATTAGATTGGATTGGACATGGTCTGTCTATAATAAATTTGTATTGGATTGCGTTGAATTAAGCCAATATCTGGTCCATTGATATAAGATAAGAATATAAGTGTCAATGGACCAGGTTTGGGTTAAAACCAATCTAAATTTAAACGAACTTTAACAGATTGGATGGTCCAGACATTGAATTGGATTGGTCTAAAATATTTATTGGATTGAATTGGACCTGGTCCATTTGTAATGGGCTCTTATTGGATTGGATTGAATTGGACAAAATCCGGTCCAATTAACACCCCTAAGTAGTAGTTCAATTTACAATTTAAACCTCACAATTAAATAGGGACTAAATTCAAAATTGAGTATCTTAGTTAAAAGAATGTTCCATAATCTTATTCATATTTTTAATAGTAGTGAAAATATAAAATTATATATGTGTTCAATTTTTTCTATAATTCTTTTTGTATTTCTATGTGTAAAAATAATTCTGATATGTCACACTTGCTTCTTGTTTAATATGATAATTATATGATATTATACATGTGCTTGAATGTTCTTTTTCAAATTTATGTATTTTCATTTTGTATTTTTATTATTTATTTATTTATTTATGACATTAAATGCTAACAAATTTGACACAAAAGTTGAACTGTTGATCTTTGCCAAATAGTAAAATAATTTCATGTTTGGTCAGTTCTAAATTATGTATTTAATTTTCATTATCAATAAAAATCATTCTTGTTTATTACACATATTATTTAATTTCATTAATAAAAATATC